TCGGATATGGATGTTTAATGGTTGGGGTCACCTAATTCTGCCTGAACTGAATCCGTTCGTGTCACAATTATGACTACCAGTTACTCCCTCCATCCCAAAATTCTTGTCTTAGATTTGTCTAGATACAGATGTATCTTGCTTTTTCCTCGTTTCTTCAACGAACAGTTGTGCTTGTCATGCAACAATTTCTGTATTACACGTTCCTACCAAGCGTCCTTGTCAGAATGGATATGCTATCGTTGGCTTGGCAAATTCTTGTGCTGTTAATCCTGTCGTTTCCTCTAGCACTCCAATCAGAAAATTCCACTGATGCTACAAAATTCCACAGATGCTACTTGGCTGGGCATAGTTTTGGCTGTAGATTTGTTTATTCTAGCTAGTTGCTGTGGATGCGTGTCAGAAACTGAATGCTTACATGTCCTAGTTAGAGTGGTTGTTAAGTTTTCCCTTCCCCTATTTCCTGAATGAGGTGCTCTTGTTGACAATTTCCTGCTATTTCCTGAATTGGTTTCGCGCACACGATGCGACGCGACCGCAGATTTTTGTGCGAGTTCCCTGTGAGGGGATTTGTTCGGTGCGGTTGCAACGCGGTCGGTGCTGTGCTGTTAGCGCTGGCTGGCTGGTTCGTTCCCCACCAATTTGGTGGTTTGGAGCTCGATCTCGCGCCGGATTGTGTTTCTCCCGCTGGATTATTAGCATTACGGTTGATCTCCCGCTGGATTATTAGCCTTTGGGAGTTGCTGACCTGCTGTGGTGATTAATCACGTTGCTTGGAGATTCCACCAGGTGCCAATTCTGCCGCTCTGTACAGAAAATTTGGGGATCTGGAATGTAGAATCATAATGCACTGGATGCTTTTCATCATGCCATATAATCATTAGCAGTTCTCTTTGATTTCCTTCCTTTTTGTCCCTCACGATTTACGATTGGCAAGTAAACCTGAAATATGCATCGCTGATCACGTAAATGATCTAGAGAAAATTCCCCACGCTCTCTCTGATTTGTTTCTCTCGATGGACTAGGGCCTCCCCTCCTTTTCAGCCGTTTCAACCAGCATGGATACCTTTTCTTCACCAAAGAAGAGGTCCAAAGCAAAGGCTCGAGGACGATTCAGTGTCAAAAAAGATAAAATTACAAAGCAGATCTCCTAGACAACATCTACAGTAGATGGCAAAGAAAAACCTTTAGAAAAGAACACAAGAAGCCGACAAGGCCGAATGAAAATCCGGCTGACGATTTACCAGTGTCGGCTTCTTGTCTTTCTTCTGAAGGTTTCTCTTTGCCGTCAACTGTTGATGTTGTCGATCTGCTTCGTAATTTTCTTTTATGCTCAGTCGTCGTCGAGCCTTCTTCTTTGTGGACCTCTTCTTTGCCGAAGAAGAGCTATCCATGGCTGGTTGCAACGGCTGCAAAGGAGGGGTGGCCCTAGTCCATCGAGAGAAACAAATCAGCTTTAAATACGCGAGTACATACAATTAAGCATGCAGCAAAAGAATGGTAAAACAAAAATCACAGCATAGAGTGATCCATTGATGATGAAAAGAGGCGATTCCATGCGGCGGCGGCTCGCTCCTGCAAGCTCTTGTTGTGTGATGTGAACAAAAAGAAAGAGAGCGTGTCGGATATGGGCACTGCTAGGGATCATACTTCTCTCAATCGTTGATGTGATAGTAAAACGTGGGCTGGCGTGGGCTGGGTAGCTAGTACTTCCCTCAATCACGGTCATGGTTATAGCATCTACTGGAGAACCAGAAAAGCTTCCAAAATTTTAGGAAACTGATCATGGTCACGAGTTACGAGATACGATTGTTATCAGATTGATTATGGGTAGTTGAAGTGACTCAATTCTGCTGGGTTTTCTGCAGGTTTACCTGACCCTATGCTTTGCCCTGGCCTCATCTGCCGTGGGTGCTTACCTGCACATTGCCCTGAACATCGGTGGGATGCTGACAATGCTTGCGTGTATCGGAACCATTGCCTGGATGTTCTCTGTGCCAGTCTATGAGGAGGTTTGTCTTGCCTTCTTCTCCTGACCATGATAACTTGTTTGATTACCGCACGGGTAGAAATTCACAAGAAGTTGTCGTCCTGGAAATGTCATGACATGGTGCGCTGACTTTGTTGATGTCTATCTCTTTGTGAACAGAGGAAGAGGTTTGGGCTGCTGATGGGTGCAGCCCTCCTGGAAGGGGCTTCGGTTGGACCTCTGATTGAGCTTGCCATAGACTTTGACCCAAGGTAAAGACAAATTTGCTTTTGTTGTTGTTCCAAATGTCCCTGTCTCGTTAAGAATAGTTTAGGAGTAAACCCCGTGGCAGCGAAACCAAGTTGGCCATGACGTTTGATGATATGTCATGGGAGTGCGACATGTACTGTCTGTGATTGGATTATTGGATATCTGCTGATTATGTGTCCTTATCCATCGTTGTCTGGTTGTTCTTGCAAGCATTATTAGTTAGGTTGTGTAGGTGCCAAATTCTGCTTCTGGATTAGTCTATTGTTCTCCTGAGACCCTCCTTTTTCCTACATTGTCTGCTCTTTCGGATGGGCCACTGTTAGTCTTTTAAGGGATGCTATCTAGATCCACAGTTTGTACTGGGCCCTTCCTCGTGGGGTTTGGACCCTGTGTTTGGGCCTGATCATGGACTCTTTGGGCCTTCATTTTTGTTAGTGATGCTGAATTTGTGTACCTACAGTTCTAGTACAAAATCGATATGACTTATTGGTTGTTACTTGGACAAGCAGATTTGCTGGTGTTTTTTTGCAGAGCTTTGCTTTTAGTTTGTTGCTGCTCAATGCTCACCTATGTTTCACATTCCTGTTATTCATGTTGGCTGACATAAACTTGCTTGTTGCTCTGTGGTACCAGCATCCTCTTGACAGGGTTTGTTGGAACCGCCATCGCCTTTGGGTGCTTCTCTGGCGCCGCCATCATCGCCAAGCGCAGGGAGTACCTGTACCTCGGTGGCCTGCTCTCCTCCGGCCTGTCGATCCTGCTCTGGCTGCAGTTTGCCACGTCCATCTTTGGCCACTCCTCTGGCAGCTTCATGTTTGAGGTGAGATACACACTGTGAGGAACCCGCCACACAACGGAGATCATTCATACAGTATTTTTGACCGAATGAGCATGATACAAACATGGTTTACGTGCCCTGCAGGTTTACTTTGGCCTGTTGATCTTTCTGGGATACATGGTGTACGACACGCAGGAGATCATCGAGAGGGCGCACCACGGCGACATGGACTACATCAAGCACGCGCTCACCCTCTTCACCGACTTTGTCGCCGTCCTCGTCCGGATCCTCATCATCATGGTGAGAACCCTAGCCACCTCGGCTGCCTACTCATCCTCCACCTTACCTGGTTGCCAAAATTCTATTCGTTCTGATATGATCTGGTCCATTGTGATGGCTGACGGTGCTGTGTGCCATTGCAGCTCAAGAACGCAGGCGACAAGTCGGAGGACAAGAAGAAGAGGAAGAGGAGGTCCTGAACGTGTTGTCCTCTGCACATCGTAGATACCATCACCGCCGCCGCCGCTACTGGTACCACCTCCACTGCTAAGTACTTGTAGGAATTAAGCTGGCGCAGTAACTTGTCGCCGTGCCACCCTTGTTAATTCGCGATCTGTGTCGTGTGAACCTTGTGTGAGTTTGCTGCTGCTGATGAAGCTTTTGCAGACGCTGTCTGCGTTCCGGATCTCTTGCGTTCCTGTTACTGTCTCGATAATCGAAACCTGAGACGATTTGGTTTGGTTGCGAAGAACATGGCTACGCTTGATTGTGGCTCGTTGGTTTTAACCTTGTGATGTGTCTCATTTCTTTTGAACAAATTGTCCAACACATGTTGGTACTGCAGGTTGTTGAGCAAGGCCTGTCCGATTGTGATGTTCACCTGTGCTCTTCTCTTGTCGTGTTTCCAGGTAGTTGGCTCGACTGGCACATCCAACTTGCCCTGGACCTGCCGCTGCGTTTCGGCCAGGCATCTGATAGTAGAGCTGTAAAACTAGTTTTTCCCCAACGTGGTTGCCGCGTCCGCCAGTTTTAGGGCGTGTTTGGTTGCAGTAGTGAACAATTTGTTTCGTTGTCTGTATGCCCTCTTGCCTGCATGCATGGGCTAAATCACATTGCCTGATATTTTGTTGTATGCATGTTAGTGAACAAACCCAAGACATGGTGTTTAATTGTGTGCGACGCCTGGTGTTTGCTAATTTTTTTGGCTAGTTGATGAGGTTACTAGCACATTTCGACACAACCATATATCACACATCATAAGCAGAGTAGAGTATAAATAAAGCATTAACTACTTAACAACATAATTCATATAAGCAATACCACATTTCATAACAGTTCAATGCATAAATCATAAACAGTTCAAAGTAGACCCGATAGTACTTAGGAAGGAGGTGTCCTGGCCCTAGTCCTTGGCGGTGAAGGCTTCGTCGTGCTTCCTGCATTTGTTGACGACCTTAATGCTGTCGTTGTCGAAGATGATGACTTTGAGGGTGTCGGGAGTGAGGAGCTTGAACGTCATCATGTAGCCGATCTTGATCTGATAAATGGTTGTGTAGGTGGCCCAACCTGATCCAGGATCACCCTGTCGTTTATCAGCTTCACCGTGTTGTTCCTGAGCTTGAACTCCATCGGCACTGTGACAAAGTGCCTGGTGAAGTCCAGGGGCATGAGGATACACTCAAGCTTCGGTGCAAGGATGATCTTGCAGAAATTAGTTGGGCCATCTCATGGTAGTAACCATAGTTGCGGCGCTTGTTGCTGGGGGCTCCTTCATGCGCTCGTCGTCGCCAGCCTCAGGCATCTTCGGTTCTTCCTCGGCGGTGGACGGCGGCGATGGGCGGCGGCACAACCTCCGACATTGGATGAACGACCGGGAGACCCTTTTCGGTGCTTGCCCTTCGGTGCATCTTCGGTGCTTGCCTTCCGACGATGGGTGGCAGCACATCTTCAGTGCTTTCCCTTGTTGTCAACGGTCGGGAGCATTTATGTGCCCATCTCATTGTTTTTTCTCGATCTGCACACAATTCATGGAGTCAGGCACAACACAGAGTTGATGTCTTATTGAAGAGAATGTCGTTAAAACGACATGACTGTCACTCTTCCTTCTCTATCGTGCCTATATTTACTCACCCTGCCCATCACTACTTACCCACCCTCCTTCTCTCACTATCAACCTTCCTCCTCTCTATCACCATGAGCTCTAACTCCAGCTCCAACGCCAACCCCTTCCCTTGGGGTATTGGCTCGAGGGCCTTCTTCCTCGGGTGGTCAGCTGGTGATCGCACCAAGTTCGAGAACATCATGAAGGTGTGCTCGAACTTCGGCTCCATGCCTGACATGCAGAAGGAATCTGATGCAGTGCTCATGAGGGCCACTGACAAGAGCTGAAGACGCTGATTCCTGACCCAGCAAAGGGCGCGATGGCAGTCGACATCATTCGCTGGGCCATGAATCAGACCGTCTCCGACGATGCTAAACAGAGAAAGAAGTGATCTAAGTACAAGAACTACTGGGTCCTAATGGCCGTCGTGCCGCAGTGTACTGGGAGATGGCAATCGCGTCGCCGGCGGTCATCGGTGAGGAGCCTAATGTAGCGACCAGACCTCAAACAGTCTAATCTCTGTGCTCTGGTGTCATCCCTGGATCAGTAATGCTGACACCACACAGTACTCGGAGGATTTATAGCAGAGTAGCAATCACACACTTATTACATCGAGTGTTTCAAAAGAGAACTTATTACAATAAATATGGCTTAAGGCCATCTAATAACGATAACAACGGAAGGCTTGGAAGATAAGTGAGTCCATCAACTCCAACGGCATCACTGAGTATAGAACCACGACCTAAAAACTCCTTAATCGTCGTTTGAAAAGTCTGCAACATTAACGTTGCAGCCCGAAATGGGTCAGCACATGGAATATGCTGGCAAGGTAACACATAGAGAGTAATGGAATGCAACAGCTATACTATATGCATATTTGGCTGATGGAAAGCTCTCTATGGTTACAGTTGGCGCAAAGCCAATTTTTCCCTACTTCAAAGGAATAACATTTATTTAACTATCATGGTAGTTGTTAAACATTGAGAATGGTTGATAGCATTCTCAATCCCAATTAAGCATCATCATTAAACATAACCCAACAAAATTAATTTAGAGTAACATGTTGAGATTCACATGATAATCCAGGTACTAGATACTTAAGATGTCCATAACCGGGGACACGGCTAACCATGATTAGTTTATTACACTCTGCAGAGGTTTGCGCACTTTTCCCCACAAGACTCGATCGCCTCCGTTTGGTTTCTCGCACTACATGGTGTTTGAGAAGACGGATGACCGAGACATAGTCTTTCAGAAGTGCTAGCACCTTAGGATCGGGTATGTGACGCCCCCGATTTGACCGTACGCTAATCATGCACGCAAATGTGTACGATAAAAATCAAGGACTCACAGGAAGATATCACAACACAACTCTACAAATAAAATAAGTCATACAAGCATCGTATTACAAGCCAGGGGCCTCGAGGGCTCGAATACAAGAGCTCGATCATAGACGAGTCAGCGGAAGCAACAATATCTAAGTACAGACATAAGTTAAACAAGTTTGCCTTAAGAAGGCTAGCACAAACTGGGATACAGGTCGAAAGAGGCACAGGCCTCCTGCCTGGGATCCTCCTAACTACTCCTGGTCGTCGTCAGCGGGCAACACGTAGTAGTAGGCACCTCCGGTGTAGTAGGAATCATCGTCGACGGTGGCGTCTGGCTCCTGGGCTCCAGCATCTGGTTGCGACAACCAGGTAGAAAGGATAGAGGGAAGAGAAGGAGAAAGCAACCGTGAGTACTGATCCAAAGTATTCGCAAGCAAGGAGCTACACTACATATGTATGCATTGGTATCAACTGGAATAAGGCTATTATATGTGGACTGAACTGCAGAAAGCCGGGATAAGGGGGGATAGCTAGTCCTTTCGAAGACTACGCTTCTGGCAGCCTCGTCTTGCAGCGTGTAGAAGAGAGTAGACTGAAGACCTCCAAGTAGCATCGTATAGCATAATCCTAACCGATGAGCCTCCCTTCGTCGCCCTGTGAGAGAGCAATCACCGGTTGTATCTGGCACTTGGAAGGGTGTGTTTTATTAAGTATCCGGTTCTAGTTGTCATAAGGTCAAGGTACAACTCCAAGTCGTCCTGTTACCGAAGATCACGGCTATTCGAATAGATTAACTTCCCTGCAGGGGTGCACCACATAACCCAACACGCTCGATCCCATTTGGCCGGACACACTTTCCTGGGTCATGCCCGGCCTCGGAAGATCAACACGTCGCAGCCCTACCTAGGCACAACAGAGAGGTCAGCACGCCGGTCTAAATCCTATGGCGCAGGGGTCTGGGCCCATCGCCCATTGCACACCTGCACGTTGCGTACGCGGCCGGTAAGCAGACCTAGCAACCTCCATTACAAAGGAAGTTGCGTTATGCGGTCCAACCCGGCGCGCGCCGCTTAGTCGCTGATGTCACGAAGGCTTCGGCTGATACCACGACGTCGAGTGCCCATAACTGTCCCCGCGTAGATGGTTAGTGCGTATAGGCCAGTAGCCAGACTCAGATCAAATACCAAGATCTCGTTAAGCGTGTTATTCTAAAAATAGCCACGGACGCCGACCAGGGCCAGGCCCACCTCTCTCCTAGGTGGTCTCAACCTGCCCTATCGCTCCGCCACAAAGTAACAATCGGGGGCCTTCAGGAACTCAGGCCCACCTCTACCGGGATGGAGCCACCTGCCCCTTCAGCCCCCAACATCGGAATCACTCGCGGGTACTCCTACGAGCCGACCCGACTTTAATCACCACAAGTATCATATATTATGTATAAGTATATACCCGTGACCACCTCCCAAGTGATCACGGCCCGATAGTATAGCATGGCAGACAGACAAGAATGTAGGGCCACTGATGGAACACTAGCATCCTATACTAAGCAGTAGGATAGCAGGTAATGGTAACAACAGTAGTAGCAAGGACAGGCTATGCATCAGGATAGGAATAACGGAAAGCAGTAACATGCTACACTACTGTAATGCAAGCAGTATAGAGAAGAGTAGGCGATATCTGGTGATCAAAGGGGGGGCTTGCCTGGTTGCTCTGCCAAGAGAGAGGGGTCGTCAACACCGTAGTCGTGTTGGGTAGCAGCAACGTCAGTCTCGGTGTCTAGCGAGAGAAGAGGGGGAAGAAACAATAAATATTAAGCAACCAGATGCATAGTGATGCATGACATGTCAAGTAGCGGTGCTAGGGGTGCCCTAACGCGGTACGAGGTGGTACCGGTGAAGGGAGGGAACATCCGGGAAATTATCCCCGGTGTTTCGCGTTTTCGGGCAGAGGAGCCGGAGGGGAAAAGTTGGGTGTTCGCTATGCTAGGTATGCGTGGCGGACGAACAGGTTGCGTATCCGGATTTGTCTCGTCGTTCTGAGCAACTTTCAT